TTCTTTTCTCTTGAACAATTTTGTTTTAACAGACCAGAATTTTGATTTAAAACAACTTCTCAGAAAACTCAAGGTAAGCATGAGTCATGAACCCTCTGTAGTGGGATACACAGCCATCTGCAATGCAACAAATATGCCAAAGGAGCTCTCCTCTGCCACAGACATTCAGCACAGCTGCTGGTTAGAATTATGGCATGACTTTCTCCTCTAGAACACTCAGAGCTAAGGAGGAGCAAGAAAACACCTTACCCATTTTCCATATCAGCAACTACTGGAACTTACTCAGTGAACCACTAAACCATGAGTGTAAACATTACGACACTTACAGCAAAGGGAAAAGAAGTGGTGTTTTCATTAGGTTTATTTTTAATTGCTATTTAGCATACCTTAAAATAACTATCCAACAGTACTGAGTGCTCTGAAATACCAAACCACTTTTCAATGTCTTGCAGGGTGTATTGAAACCCTGTGATTCCAATCCTGTGTCATTTGCTTTGACATTATGTTATCCTCAGTGCCCACATTATATTCTTACTTGCTTGGCCTGCATTAGCCAAGAGCTGCTGAAGAGTTCCCAGCACTGTGCAAACACAGCAGGGCGCATTATCTTGGGAATTCTGTTGGCTCTGGAGCTCCCACAGGATGAGGAGATGCCATCTCCGTGGCAAGGCTCATTTTGCTGCAGCACAAGGCAAACACTGGCCCAGCAGCCAGTGGGAGCTGATTGATCACCAGCACGGTGTTGCTGAGATATGGATTTGTATCTCAGCTTTTTATCACCGGGACTTGCACGAGGCAGTTCCTTATTTACAGACTCTGCCTCTATTAAGTGACATTATTAGGGACTACTTTTGTTTAAGTGCCTCAAAGGCTCAGCATATTGGTGGTTTATGACATATAAGCTGTTTGATTCTGATGGTTTAGCCCTCACTTTTTCACACTGTAAATAGGAGCTGCAGCACAAGAACATATGGTACGTAAAGAAATTAAAGCTAAAGTAAATGGCATTAAAGCAAATTCAAACAGAGCAATAAGATACTCTATATTATACTGAATTATAAACCTGTATTAAGAGTTTTTTAAACAGGAAATAAAAGCTTCAATATGAAAAATAACCTTTCAGCTGTAGGGTTTTTTTTAGGATCATTTCAGGGGTTTGCTGTGATTAATTTCCTTATTAATCCTCATTAATGGCTGTGTAGTTAAATTAATAAAATAGGATATCTCTTAATAAGTGAAACTAGTTCTGAACATAGCATTAGTGCTTTACCTTTTTAACTTTTGGGTTCATACCACATAGAGTTAAATGAATAAAATAGGATATCTCAATAAGTGAAACTAGTTCTGAATACAGCATTAGTGCTTTACCTTTTTAACTTCTGGGTTCATACCACATAGAGTTAAATGAATAAAATAGGATATCTCTTAATAAGTGAAACTAGTTCTGAACACAGCATTAGTGCTTTACCTTTTTAACTTCTGGGTTCATACTACATTGCTCTGTTAGAGAAAAAATACATTATGCATTCTTAAATGTTTATTACAGCAAATACACTTGTTTCTATTTATAAATGTACATTTAGCATAAAACCAAAGAAGAGCCCTGCAAAACTGCCATCCTGATGCTCACATTCCATATCACACATGAAAAAAAAGGAAAACTACCTTTTCCTAACTTTTTAATACCATAGCAGCCTATTTAAAAAAGGAATTTCATTATACTTTCATGTAAATACGAAGATTTCCCTAATTATTGTTCTACAGATAAACTCTAATAGTATGTACTTAAACTGTAATTTCAGCACAGGCCTAATTTATACACTGTTTTATGTGTGGCATTAGTTCCATCAGCCTGCAATCCAACTCCATCAAAGACAGGTTTCTGATAGAGCTTTAGCGTTAGTGCACTCTGACATAAATAATTTTCTCTTATGATGTGTTCCTTCAGTTAAATAGAGCAGCAAGAGTATTTTAACTGCCACTGCTGCTGTGCATTTCTGCTCAGCTGAAATACCTCTTTTCAGAACAACTTATTCAGCTCATGTATGATTTTTTTTGTTTGTTTGTTTCTTTTCATTATAGCTTGGAAGGTTGGTTTGTTGTGTTTGGATTTTTTTTTAATCTCCAGGTATCTCTTTGGTTGTTTCCAGCAATAATGTATCTCATCTGTGTAATTTTACAGAGAGCAAATTGTAAACAGAGTTCTCCATACACATAAAGGCATCCTGAGTATATTCATGAATGAACCAGCACCTCAATAGGATCTGATTTTAGCATTCTCTTATGCTTCAGGGTAAGAATTGTGTGTGACAATGCTTCTAAGCACAGAAATCCCAAACTTCAATGCTGTAAAATATGCCAACACTGCCAATGACACAGTCAATACAGACTAAGAACAATTCCTAAGGATTCTCCTTTTGGGGCAAATCTAAAGCAGGTGCTTACAGATAATTTTCCCATTGTATGGCCATTACTCTGCCACCTCCAGGAACTGGCTAGCTCAGAAAACCTATCCACTAGCTGGCAACCAGCAGCACAGACTGAGGCAGGGGTCTGAGCTGCCTAATTTGGCAATATTGCTGGCATCTGATATTCCCATTTACAGTCTAAGTCTGCAGACATGACAGAAACTTCCCAAAATAGGAGATAAGCCCTCAAGGAAAGCTGAGCAGCTCACTGTAATAAAAACAAAGACTGCTCTGACCTTACACACTTTGCAGTCACAGCATTCACACACCACTCAGGTTTCCTGTTTGAAAAAAGGCAGTCAGTAGCCAAAGATAAAGTGCAAAACTCATGACACTTTTCAGGCTTTGCTCACTTAAGGAGTGGCACCTTCCCCTGGCACAGGGACCCCCCAGCAGCACTCCTGGCCAGCTGCAACCACAGCCCAGGCCTTTCCTCAGCTTGGACAATCTTGTTTTTCCAAAATCCACCTCAGGCAAGTATCAACAAAACAGCCAGTTCTCTGTACATCTGCTGCCATTATTATTTGCTGTGAGGAATTCTGGGTTTGAGTTAAAAGTGCATTCACTAAAGGGAATCTGATGAGGCAATTGCCTAAACATAAATACATGTCATGTTTCCCCTCCCCAACAATTCACTTGGTGAGCAATCCAGCCTCAGTCATGAACATAAAGTACAGATATCCACGTTGAGAATTTATCCTTCTGTAAAGGAAGTCTCTCCTGAACAGATGTTAAGATTTACCTCTTTACCAAGCACTAAAGGTAGAAGGAAACAGTATCAGGCACAAGAGCACTTCCATTTAGATAATTTCTCCTCCTAGATACAATTTATGGTGTAAGAATTACAAAAGCTTGTCCCTTCTCTGTATTTCCACACATTAGCCTTTATGAAAACGGGAAATGGACTCTGCATTCCCCATCTGCTCCTTCTCCTCATATTTTGGATTAAAACTGGAGACAAGAAACCCTGCACTAGGGCAGAAATTGTTCTGCTGAATATTCACTTGGTCACTTCAGCGATTCCAGAAAAGCTGATATCCTGTTTTAAGTACAAATCTTTCCTGAACTTCCTTTTCAAGACTAAGACAAGTGAGAAAAAAGATGCTCAGAGAAATGCAGTTTGTGTCTTCTGTCAGTGTACACAGAGTTCAGGTTGCTCTCCTCTGGGAAATGTGTGTTCCATCACAATTATGAGCTCCACCAGAGCTAAAGGATTCCTTTAACTTGGTGAGAAAGGTGGCTTTGTGTTCTTTGGGGGTTTTGGTAGGTTTTTCCTTGGTTAAACAGTTAACACAGTTTGATTTGTAGAAAAACTAAATGTTTTCTCCTCTCCTTCAAAATGTAACAGAGAATGAGCTGCTTCTTTATGCCCACAAGTGAGCAAAGTCTAAGAACAGCAGCCCCAGGGGCTCTGGCATGACAGCAGCAGTGCAGGTTAGAGGCAGGTGCCCAAGGTGTGCTGCCTCAACACTGGAGTGAAAGGAACAAATTCAACCCCTCAGAGCAGGGCATGACTCATGTCCTTACTTCCTGGTGCTAAACAAGAATTTTTGCTTTAAGTAAAGCCAAACTCCACTTCAGCTGCTCAATACAAATGAAGCAATGCTAGCTGGAGGCGCCCTGGTGAAGGGGGCTGCCTTTATGGAAGCTAAATTTTTACAGGATTTGTGTGTCACAAACTGGAGCTGCCTGCAAGGAGTGTTCCATAAAATTCTCCACCTTCTCAGCACAGGACTTTGGCCACATGCTCATTCTTCTTATTCTGAGGATGGAGTGGATATGAAAGGGCAAAATCACAGCTGTGTTTAAAGATTCAAAACACCTGGGAATATCTGATGGCTCCACAAGTGCTGAATGGAGGTAACAGCCAAACACACTACTAGGACAAGAAAAAACCTACATTCTTCTCTGATCATCATTCCTGAGGATTTTTCTCATGATGGCCTAAAAAAAGTTGCTAAAAACCATTTTGTCCCTGATCTTCCCAAACTTCTGTGAAGTCTATCTGCATAAGGACAAATGAACATTATTTTTCCCTTTTCATTGCATCACCTGACTTTTTGGCCAAGTTAGGAAAATTTCTACTTTTCCAACCATACTGAAGAACATTAAAATATTGCTACATTGAAATAGAGATACACAAAGTATAATTTTGAAAGAAAAATCTGCAAAGCTATGGCAGAGTCAAATATTCACTTCTTACTGTTTAAAATGCAGGAACAGTTTTGCTTAAACACCAACACCTGCACCTCTCTTTTGTACTGCACTTTATGCAGAGAATTTCAGAGTATTCTTCCAAAGGGCACAGCAGAAATATAATCTGTCTACAGTTCCTACAGAAACAAAAGGCAGAGGAAGACAGCTTGGCACAAATAGTCTAAAAGTATAACATTTTACTGTACATAATCAAGAATAACAATTTGTTAATAATTTATTATTTATTATTATCCTCAAATGTTGCAAATCCTTTACAGACCACCAGGCCTACTTAAGTAATCATTAATTTACATAGGAAGAAACTCTAATACTTACATAGCTGTGACTCTTAAGGAAATCTGAAGGGTTGCTTGTGCAGACTTTATCCCCTTCCAAGCCAATTACTCTTTTACAGATATTTGATTTGGGGTCATTTGGGCTTTTCACAATTACAATATCTCCTCTGAGAGGAAAAAAAAAAACAAACAGAAGAACTCTAGTTACAAACTAACTGAGTACATAAGCAACCATGTATCTACTCCAAAAATATTCACACCCATTAAAGATAGTCCGTTGTGCTGAAAATTCTTGTGTACAATTTTGGTTTCTTCAGTTTTACTCAGGTGTAATTTCACAGAGTTTTAGAAGTTGAGTGAATTTTTGTTATTGGGATCATTTATGAAACATTTAAGACTACAACCTGAGACCAGTAATACCCATAGATGGTTTCCAAGACCAAACTGCTTAGGGAAGAAGTTACATTCACTCCGTAGAATCATTCAGGGCGAGGAAAAAAAGGACTTTTTCCTATTTTTTGGACAAAGCTGCAACAGTGGCAACAGACTAAATCCAAACTGAATTTTGAGAAGTTGTTCATTGGGCTGTTGGTAACTTTAAGATCCTTTAGACACAATGAAAAATTACAAGTTAGAAGCAGAAAAATACACTAAAAATCAAGGGCAGAAGGTGGTTACTGGCGAGCCCTGGCAGAGGGAATGTCAGATGTGCTCCCAAGAGAGCAGCATACTTTTGGATGCAGTAAAAGTGGCGGCTGAGGTTCTCTGAAAAAACAACATCTGAGTTCTGAATGGTTGGTTCCATGGAAGGTCCAGAGCACTGCAAATGAAAAAGAAAGGAGAAAAAAATTACTGTTTCAAACTGCTTCTTTCTAAAATAAACTTACATTTAAATGATATGCTAATAAATTAGAAAAGGTGGAATGTAGAGAACTAAAAGTGAGCTCCTCCATGGAATGTGCGATGCATTTCAAAGCTGAGGGGCAGAGCACCTCTGTCACAGACATCTTTTGTGAAAAATCTTTTCTTTAGAATTTTTCCTTCCTCTGGGAAGCTGAGGCCCCAAAAGAAGAATGTAAGCAATAGTTATCTACTGCTGTGCAATGTAACAGGTGCACCTGGGATTGGTCCATGTTACTTGTGTACAATTAAGGGCCAATCAAAGACAAGCTTTCTCTGAGACAGATCAGAGAGAGCTCCGTTAGTATTCATTCCTTCTTCTATTCTTAGCTTAGCAGCTTCTAAACTTTTCTCTCTATTCCTTTTTAGTATAGTCTTAATGTATTATATATCATAAAATAATAAATCCAGCCTTCTGATCGTAGAGTCAAAATTCTCGTCTGTCTCTCTCACCCTGAGGAACCCTTGCAAAGCCTTGCCACACACCTCTAACTCTGTTACAGTTCTGTATTTCCTTGAGGTTGGTCCTCAACTGCACTAGGTGCTATAAGGCCTTCACTAATTCCCTTCAGCACTACATCTCCAGGAAATTTTTAGGAGCAGTGCTCAAAGGCCTACCAGCTTACCCCTTTCTCTTCTGTGTGACACAGAACCATCACAGAAGCTGCAGGAGCAGCTCACAGCCAGACTCCCCCATGCCCAGCAGCACTTACCTGCCAGGTTAAGGACCTGGGCAGGAGGGGCAGGGAGCATAAAACACCCACAAATTTGGCCAGAGTGTGAAACAAAGGCATTTCCTATCACTGACTCTAGTGTTTCCTAAAGGATGGACTCTGTGCAAAAGGCTTAATCAGAGTTTTCCATTTACTTCAGTGATACCTCGAGCAATAACACATCAGAACACAAAGTACAAATAGCCTTCACAAAGGCTGGAGCCCCTTCCCATAAATTGTGTTAAATGACAAAACCTGAAATACTTGGCATCATCACACAGAAAACCGTCAGTACTAGAGTGTTATCTCCTTTTAAATGTCATGAAAAAGAAGAATTACCACAACAATCCCTCCAAGGTACTCGAAGGCACAGTGTGCTATGCAGCCATACTGCACCGTGTAGCCCAGAAACCGGCAGGCTTTTCCTAGGGCATTGCGAAGCATCCTACAGTGCTACGGTGCCCAGCAGCCCTGCAGCAAAACACAAGAGGATCATTCATTGGAGAACAAGCAATCCTACATTTACAAACCCATCTCTAGTGTGTAACAGGTGGGCAAGATTTAAAAAAACCCAACAGTGGAATGATACCAACAAATAATCAGACAGACTTGAAGAGGTGCATAGAGAAATGAGGCATCAGGTCTTCTGCTCTCAGCTGTAGCACAGTGCCATAATTTCTGCAGGACATTAGCCTGTAAACATTTTCTGACCCCCTTCCCCAAGTATTCAAGTCCAACTCTGATTGGGAGATCCAATTCCTACAATGCTAATCTAAATAAAATATTTCCGTACCACAATTTGGGATGGTTACGCTTAAGAAAGTGGAAAACAAACATAATGGAGTAATTGAAGCAAAAAAACCTCTTCCCCTTAAACTCAGTGTTGCCTTCTCATGAACCAAAACCACTGCAAGATTTCCCTCTTTCCCTAAGATAGGTCAATAGTTTCAATAGTTTGCTGAGCAAATACACTATGTTGAAAAGAAGAAAAGGAAAAATGCTGTGTAAAATATGCCCATTTCAAAATTAAATAGAGACATTTTCTTCTACATTTCACTCATGAAATGAAAGAATTTAAAAGTGCATGGATTTATTTTCACAACTCTCCCTAGAATTTAATGGGAGTTTTGCCTGACTACATTCCAAAGACAACCATTATTGGGAGATAATCTCTAACAAGTTCATTTCCTTGTTCCAAAAGAGAGGTCCTTTTTTATCTACATAAACTTCTCTGCACTAGAACAGCTTAAACCAAGCTGTGATTCATCATTCACTATCTGACCATTTGCACAGTAATGACCCAAAACACAATGGCAAACAGAAAAGTCTTGAATTGTGTCACTGGCAGATGCAGGAACTGGAAGAGCTCCCCTGGAAGGGGAATGCACTTTCAGCAGAATCCATCCTGGTGAAGCACACAAGTGCCTGGCTCTTCCCAATTCAGTGCACCAACCAATGCCTTAGGCCAGACACACTGAGAGCCCAGAGCTGGCACACAGGGGACAAAAGGAAGGTGGAGGCGCAGCAGATGAATCTGAGTTGCACAAGCAGGTGAATGCATAACTATCTGACAGAAATCCATCATCAATTGTTCTTAACAGCACCTGCTGGAAAGGAGCCTCACATTGCTTCTCAGTTCAGGAAGAAAGAAAAATACTGCACAAGTATCCACCATTTTTGCCCCATGTTAGTCAGAAACCTCATATTAACACATTACCTGTTGCCCTGATTTTTTAAGATTTTCTAAGCCTTCTGATGCTTACATTCTTGTAATGAACTTTCTCACACATTTTCTGTAAATAACTTATTGTTTTGCATTCTTTTATGGAGGAGGAGAAATTTGATGGACTGTTGGCTTGTCCAGTGTCATTGAAGAGGTGGCACTTTTGAAAATCTATATATCTTGGAATCAGAAATTAAAAAGTCTCTTTTTACCTTGAACAAAGCAGCATGTGCATGTGATGTTATTTCGTGTCCTATAGTGACATTAACATATTAAGATTGAAGAGAATTTAAGCACCTGTGGGTACTGCAGGTAAGCAAACAATGCATTACAATGCCCAGAGTACACAGATCAATCTGGGACAAACAAACAGTAACAACATCAAAAGAATGTGCAAGCCTCCCATGCCACCAGCTGTCAGGTTGTCACTTAAATATTTTTATTATGAAACTCCAAACCACTGCAATACATATCAGAAAACAGGTTTCAAGGCGATTGTGAGCAGTTTCCTTATGGATTTTGGGTGACACAAACCTAGGGATAGTTATCCTGGACATGTGTTTCCTTGGGATGCCTGGGAGTAGATTTGGGAGCTACTCAGGGAACCCAGGGCTCAGAGTGAGCTTTGCCTGCTGCCATGGGAAAAAACCAACCACAAGGACAGAACATGAGTGAAGAACTCTCAAGTTTTGTTCCCAGTTCTCTTAAAATAAATTCTTAACGCCTGAGACATAGATTTCACCAATCCCTTCTTATAAATGTAGTACAAAGGATTTTTTTTAAATGCTCAAGCTTATCAGATTTTATGATAGCAATCAAAAAATTCTTAGCTTTATATAAAAGCTTTTGACTACTACTCAAGAAAGTTAATTTGAAATGAAGACACATATATACCTGGATTATACAGTCTGGCCCTGGCAAGGTACCTCCTGAGGATGGGAGGGTGATTTAAACATTAAGGTCCATCTTTAGACATCTAATATTCATTCCAAATAACCAAAATCCTAAAAGTTTCCATGTCATTTTAAGTAACGACTTCTAGTTAATAATTGGTTGTAGCAAGTTTAGTAAAAAAACCACCAGACAAAACTAGTTTACTTAAAAAAAAAAAAGCCACACAGAGAAATAATTAACTTGAGCATCATTAAATTATAATTGATAAAAAGTATCATTGTTAAAATATAATTGTTTCCTCTGAGAACTTCATATCATTCTATTTTTGAAACAATGTCATATTGTTGATCACAAGGAAATAAACAGTTTTCCACATCACACAATTTTAATACAAAGTACCATCAGCAGGCAACTCCACCAGATCAAACATAAGACCACTAAGCACAATAAAACAAATTATTTAAGTCAGAGGCCCCTTGAAAACTGAATGGCTCTGTAGTATAAACATCCTTATTGCAGAATGGCCTAAAACCTAATTACCTCCAGGTACTACCTAATATCATGTAGCAGCTAGCTGCAAATTTTATACCAAAATCAACATTGGTTAAAAAAGGTCACACACACATCCATATTTCTCACAGAAAACACAATTTCATTATTTTACCACAAGTTTATAGTTGTAAAATACACAGCAAATAAAATGCAAAATGTAATTACAAGTATCTTATGTTCCCTCTTCCTCCCACAGCCTGTGCTTTCATCACTGGGTTTTTGTTTGTTTGTTTATAAAATTAATCACAGCTAGCAGGGTAGAAACCACTTTGAGCCTCATGAATGACATCCAAGAGATGGGAAAGGATTAGTTCTCAGTTGCTGCCAGTTATAGCGCCAGGTGGCTTTTGCTGCGGCGAAGGTGTTACCGATAATCCCATTACATTGGTACTAAATCTTGCAGACATCAAAATTATCACCAAGGTTCCTTTTCATCCCATCCTTTCCAAATGACTGGAAGTCGCTTCACCTGAAAGAAGTCAAATCCACATGCAGCTGCTGTTTTAGCAGCCAGCGGACTCCCTGAGAATGCCAATTGTGATCCAATTTCGCTGTGCTGGTGGCCCCCTATTCCCTGTCCAATAATACATCTGTTAAAAAATCCTACAGCTACAAATCAAGTTTAATCCTACCAGGGACCTCATGTTGGTCTTGTCTTCCAAAAAGGCAGCAGGTTTTGCTGTCTATCTCTGCCAGTGTCTGGGGAATACTCTTTAAATCCCAGCTCTACTTAGAAGAATAAGCTAAGGATCACAAAACATGACCTCAAAAACCCTGATATGACTATATTCTGACCCAGAGGCATTCATTCTAGGTGAAGATTAGAACTTTGCATAATAAGATTACACAGCAAGTGAATGATATCAAGGGACTATCCATATGCAGCCGCCTGGTTTTCTATAGACAGCCTGTGCTCTGCAATATGCAGTGCAGACGAAACAGAGCTTGGGCTTTCTAGCTGAAATAAAATAGATTCACATAAATTAGTTGGCCATTTCCAGATTCCTAAATCCCCTATTACATCTTTTATTGACAGCTCCTGTGAGGATAGCACAAATGGTATTCTCTTTGTACTCTTTGCTTCTGTAGCACCCGCGCTCTGAGGGAAATGTACACAGGTTGTCTAGAAATTAACATCTTGTTTGCTGTAATCTTGGATTACAATTATTGTCTATATAATAAAATTAGAAAATCAATGAGCAGCTTTACCATTTCCAGAAGACCAATGGCATTGTGTAAGACAGTTTTAGATGTGGTGATGAATTTTTAAATACAGGAAAATCAAAGTTGCAGGCACTGAAAGTGTGACTAAACAAATCACTGCACTTGGCACTAAACAGATTTTTCACTTTCATAAAACATCTCCGGTCGCATTTGCTTTATATCATGTTTCCCAATTCTGGAATTTCATTGAATATGTAGTGAGAGATTATCAGTTTTCCTTCCGCAACAGAAACTCTTCTCCCAACATTCTCCACTTCTAACCAGACACCTTTCTCTACACATAACTTGCACCATCTCTTTCCCACAGAATTACTCTGAGATTACTTTAAAAAACAATCCAAAAATCCAAACCAAAGAAAAAACTGCACATTGGCTAGGCCATTTAAATATTTATGTTTGAACAGTTATTTATATTAAACTATTATTTTAAAACTTCTGCATGAAACTGATGTCTCATGTGCTAGAAGAGCAAAGGGTGTATATCTTGTTTATTTGGATGCTTCCCATATTAGATATACAATATGTTTTAAATATATATATATGAATATACAAATATACAAAATGCTTTAAATATTCTAATTTCCATCTGAGGATTCTGAACACATCTAAAGCAAAAAAAAGAACCATTTTCAAAAGGTCCCTCTGTGCTGGAGATCAGAAGAATTGCTTTTTATTTCCAGCTGTTGCTTTACTCTGGAAGAAACACTGGACTTGGTCTGGCAAATGTGAGCAAGCTTGGTGATATTCTGCAAGAGATTACATTTTTACACATTATCTCTACTAGGCACTGGCAGTCTCTAACAAGAGCTCCTTCAGCTGCTGCTCTCAAGCTGACAAGGAGTTTAATCCTGTAAACATAACACAATTGGCTGGTGTTAAATAACCAGAGACTACAGACAAGAATGAGCAATTTCCCAACACAGATTTCAGGTAGTTCTCACTGGTTCTATTTACCTTTGGGAAGCAGCTCCTAACACTTGCACAACCCTGAATAAAACGCTGCTTTAATGGCCAGATACATTCCAAAGCTTGTCCAAAGCTGCAGCTCCATTCACTCCTCTTTGCTGAACAGTGAAAT